ATTTGAAACAGAAAAAAAATTAACTTTGAAACTGACGACAAGATGTTTCAAATATATATATGTATAAATATATAATTTTTTTCAGTTTCAAAATAGTTTTATTTTGAACAAAAGTTGTGACCTTTAGCTCCATATAACGGGGCCCGTCTCTGCCGAGGAGACTCTGACCTCCTTCCTCCTGCAGATGAAGGAGAGGATGAAGGAGGAGGCGTGGAACATCCACTTCTCCGAGTACGGCCGAGGAGTCTGCATGTACAGAACCTCCAGAACCAGAGACCTGGTTCTGAACGGGTTACCGGAGAGCCTGCGAGGGGAGCTGTGGCTGCTGTTCTCCGGTCAGTTTTTTAACCCTTTCATCCACCCGAGGTTGGTTCTTCCCTCCTGTCCTTACCGGCCGTCTCTTCCTCTGCGTGTCCAGGTGCTCAGAACCAGCTGGCGTCCCACCCTGGGTACTACGGCGACCTGGTGGAGCAGGCCATGGGGCTGTGCTCGCTGGCCACGGATGAGATCGAGCGCGACCTGCACCGCTCCATGCCTGAGCACCGGGCCTTCCAGAACGAGACGGGGATCGCCGCTCTGCGTCGCGTCCTCACCGCCTACGCACACCGAAATCCGGGGATCGGGTACTGCCAGGTCAGGCCCAGGACCGGGTGAACCACCAGAACCCGGTCCAGTTTCTGATGGACGATGAGGTTTTATTTCTCTAACACAGATGTGTTGTTCCTCCAGGCCATGAACATCGTCACCTCCGTCCTGCTGCTCTACTGCACCGAGGAGCAGGCCTTCTGGCTCCTGGTGGCCCTCTGTGAGCGCATGCTGCCCGACTACTACAACACCAGGGTCGTAGGTCAGTACCACCGGTCCACCAGGACCGGGGTTTGTAACAGGACCAGGTTCTGTAGCAAAGACCACCCAGGATCCTGAGGTGGGTAGAGGACCAACAGTTAGTACTCAAGTTAAAGTAGCAGTACTTCAACGTACTTTTACCCAAGTAAAAGTAAAAATCCATTCAAGAAAGACTCGAGAGTAAAACAGCATTTGGTAAAAAGGTTAATCGAGCACCGAGTAACTGATCAAGAGATCAATCACTTAATGTTTAAAAATGACATCATCAGTGAGCAAAATATAAAGTTATGGAAATGTTGGTATTTTAAAGATCAAAATAAAAATAATTCATATACATAACATATTCCGGCAAAATAAATTATTTTCCAAATTCAGTTTCTTTCAAAATAAAATTTATGGAACAAACAAGAACTGCAGGTGTGTTTGGTGAAAATAAGTTTGTTCTTCATTCAGCGAAGGTTCTCACAGTGGGTAGTTYCCAGAAAGTAGCGATACTTTGTAATAAAATTACTCAAGTAAAAAGTACAGCATGGTAAAAATACTCCTAAAAGTGTATTATTTCCAGCCAGTCGATCAAAGATGAGCCTTACTGGTGGTTAACATGTCTTTTCTTTTAACCTTTGCAGCATGTTTCCATCCTTCAACCAACATAAGAACTAAAGCAACAAAATAAAAAAGGAAACTACAATGTTGTTCTAACATTTCCAAAATTTTCTGAAAGGACATTAGCATGTACTGTTCTTATTGTARCATCTTCATTAAACATATATTTACCTTGTTCCTCTCTATGGGATAAATCTTGTGTCAGCAGGAACTGAATTTGAATCACTCAGATTGAATCTGAATGTGCAGAATTTGAAATTGAATGAATTGGTTTGAAAATAAATTTCACTAAACTGAAACTGAATTTAAAGTTTTGAATCTGAATTAATTTGCTTTGAAACTGAATTTTGG